TTATGCCTCCAGAGGGTCGGAAAAAAACCCCACAACAACAACCCACAACAGACAAACCAATCTCCCAAAAGAAGCCCCTCAATGAATGCTGCAGCAATGAGCTCAAAATAGCGGTAGTTGTGGGCATAGCAAGGTTCCTGGTAGGAGCTGCAGTGAGTCAGAAGGAATGTGTGTGGTTTCTGTTGTGGGTTCTTTGTTTTTTAATATTTTTAAAAAAATTTGATTATTTTTGTGTGTGTGTACCATCAAATCAGATCTGACTGGTACAGGAGGATATTGTCCCTCCTTACCCGGCAGAGCATCTGGTGGATTCGAACCGTTTGCCTCTGGGATTGTAGTTGCAGCTCCTTGCCACTAGGCCCCCAGAACTCCCCTTGTTGTTGTTTTTTAAGGGCAATAGTTTGAACTCACCTGGAGGCTCCATGGAAGAAAGATCAAGGGACCTGCTCCCATAAAGACATGGCAGCCTAGGAGACGCCCCCTCCCCAGGGCATTTGCTCCAGCACGTGGGCTGCTATGAGTCAGACTCCCCAAGGACAACAAGAGTGAGGCAGTGAGCCCCTTAGCAGCGTCCAGGGTCTCCTCTTATCATGTGTAGCATGAACCATTTAGCGAGTATAGCCTAGGATGCTAGGGGCAGTCCCAAGGCAGAGGACAGGCTGGTCAGGGGCCTGGCGGGGACAGTTCCTGGGAGAGGGTGGCTCAGAGCAGAGGTAACTTACGGGTGGAAAGATTTAAAAAGTTTTCGCTTTGTTTCTTTTTTTTTTTTTGTTTAAATCTTTGTTGTATTATTTTTACGTGTACCTTCAAATCAAATCTGACTGGTACAAGAGGAGATTGCCCCCTCCTCCAGCAGAGCATCTGGTGGATTTGAACTGCACACCTCTGGGATTGTAGTGCAGCGTCTTGCCACTAGGCCACCAGAGCTCTCTAGTTTTCACTTTGTTTTGTAATCATCTCAAATGTACACAGAGGCGGGGGTGGGTGGGTGGTGTAATTGCAACAGTAGGAGAAGGAGCTCCCTCAAATTCCCCACCCAAATAAAAATCAAATCTGAAGCCCTTCATGACGATTCCAGCTCCAGAGGAGCCCACAAGCGTCAGAGCAGAACTCGTGGATGTTTTTTTGTAAGTAGGTGCCAGGCCTTTCTTCTGAGTGCTTCTATCTGGGGTGTGAATAAACTGGCAGCTTCTTGGTTACCGTTCAGGTAACTGCCGCCTTTAGCTGGCTGGCGGCTCCCAGGCACTCCTGGCCCATCGTAGGTGCTCAGTAAATACCAACTCTAAGTTGTCCCTTCATGTCACGTGTGGGGACTTTTCTGCCACATCTCAAACTCTGGGTCAGATTCACAGCTTGATTCAGCCTCGTGGCCTTCCTGGGGTAGCCACCTGGAGAAGAAACAGAGAGCTGACCACCTACCTCAATGGACAGAATGCAGGAAAAGGGGGTCATGGTGCAAATGGCAAGGGAGGAGTTTGAATCCACCCGATGATATGGGTCAGAATCAAGGCTGTATGTTGATACCATCTGATTTGCTGGTGATATGAACGTATCTAACAGCGGTACGTCTTGGACCTGGACCAAGCAGATGGGCAGTGGCCAGGACATTGTGTCCTGCCCCCCAGTGAGCCATTTCCCACCCCGATGCCCCCACATGTGTCACTTTAGATCTATGCTTCCTAAGGCACTCCGTGGTGATTTGTTTTCTTTCTTTAAAATGTTGTTATTGTTGTTATGTGCCATTGAGTCGCTTGCGACTCATAGCGACCCTATGTACAAGAGCTCTAAATGCTGTTCTATCCTGCGCCAACCTAGCCATCTCAAACACACTTATTCCCACCGCTCCAGTCACAGAATCGATCCATCTCACCAAAGGTCTTCCTCTCCTTCGCTTCCCTCCACTCTGCCAAACATGATGTCCCTCTTCAAGGACCAGTCCCTCCTTGCAACATGCCCAAAACATGTCAGACGAAGCTTCAGAATCCTTGACTCCAGGGAACACTCTGGCTTCACCCATTCCAGGACAAACCTGTTTGTTCTCTTAGCAGTCCATGGTATATTCAACACTCTTCACCAGCACCACAGCTCAAAGGCATCAATCCTCTTTCTATCAGCCGTATTCACTGTCCAACTCTCTGATGCATAGCACATAACTGCGAAGACTATAGCCTGGATCAGGCGCACCTTAGTCTCCAGCCTGACATCGTTGCTCTTCAGTACTCTGACAAAATGTAATTTTATTAATTTTAATGAATGTTTACAGAGATTTTGGATTTTCATTCATTCATTCATTCATTGCTGCATTTTTCTCCCTGCCCGCCCCCCCCAGTTCGTTCTTCTTTTTGAAAAGTAAAAGAAAATTTCTTTCATTGATGTACAACCCCCCTGCCCTGAGTATACTCCATAGATGCAACTTCATTCTGGACTCTTGTTATAACCCTAATACCCAAACATAGCGCTTTTAAACAGTTCTCTCCCTCATCTGTTTCAATGCACTATACACAATTTATCCAGTTTTTCTCAGTCTCACCCCAACCCTGATGTCAGTCCCCTTCTACAATTTGTTTTCTTTTTTAAAGCTGCTTGCCAAGTCTTTCTTCTGATGTGCATCGGGGTGGATTAGAACCTCCAGCCATTCAATTAACAGGAAAGCTTTTTTTTTTTTTTACACAGCTTTGCAGTGTAACTATGCATTAACCATTGAGCTGCTGGATCTTGGGGCGATGGGGGCTTCAGGGGCAAGTTCAGGGATTGACAGAGGGGCTGTCAGGGAAGTATCTATTTACCAGTTAGTAGGAGAGCAGGTTAAGGTGTTATTGTTGTTGTTAGGCGCTGTCGAGTCAAATACAACTCACAGAGACCCTATGACCAGCACATCTGAACTTTGCTCTACACCGTGCCGTCCTCATTGTATCTAATATAATGAGCCCCTTTCTAGGGTCACTGTGTCCATCCGGGCTGGTAAGGGTCTTCCTCTCTAACCCTGACCCTCCACCTTTCCAAGCATGACGTCCTTTTCCGAGGACTGACCCTTCCTGACAACAGGCCCCGAGCATGTGAGGTGAAGCTTCACCCTCCTTGCCTCCAAGATGCAGCCTGGTTGAGCTTTCTCTGCAACATGCTTGTTGATTCTCTTGACAGTCCGTGGGATAGCCAGCACTCTCCTCCGACACCACAGCTCAAAGGCATTCAATTCTTCTTCAGTCTTCCTAGTCCTTGCCTCCTTTTTCAGATGCAGACCCAAGTTTTAAAAGTTGGTATGATTTTGGGGAAGGAGGCTTGGTTAAGGGGCAGTGGGTAAGTCTTGGCGACTAACCATAATGCTTGGCAGCTTGAACTCACTCATCAGTTAGTTGCTTCCTGGGAGGAAAAACCAAAAAAAGGCAATCAACTTCTCAAAACAGTCACAGCAAGAGAAGAAACCCCAAGGAGCAATTCTGCCCTCGCCCGCAAGGGGCAGCCATGAGAGTCACCACTGATTCGCCTGCAAGCTTGAAGGATCCCTGGGTACTGCAAGCAGTGTGGGCTGGGCTGGAGGAGTCCTGAATATCCCATGGACGGTCAAAAGAACAGACAGATAGGTCTCCGAGAAGGCGCAGCCAAGAGTGCTTCTTGGAGGCAAGCATGGCAAAGCTTTGTCTTTTATACTTGGGACATGTAGCTAGCTGTTGTTGTTTGTTGTTATGTGCCGTCGAGTCGTTTGCGACTCATAGCGACCCTATGTACAACAGCCCTAAACCCTGCTCTATCCTGTGCCAGTCTCATTGCCTCTGACACACCCATTCTGATTACCCCGGTCACTGAATCAATCCACCTCATAGAGGGTCTTCCCCTCCTGTGCTGTCCCTCTACTCTATCCAGCATGATGTCCCTCTCTAAAGACCTATCTCTCCTTACAACATGTCCGAAGTATGTCAGGCGAAGCCCCAGAATCCTTGCCTCCAAGGAGCAGCCTGGTTTAACCCTCTCTAGGATGAATCTGTTTGTTTTCTTGGCAGTCCATGGAACATTCAATACTCTTCTCCAGCACCACAGCTCAAAGGCGTCAATTCTCCTTCTATCCTCCCTAGTCATTGTCCAACTCTCTGATGCATAACAAGTGATTGCAAAAACCATGGCCTGTATCAGGCGCACCTTAGTCTCCAGAGAGACACCGTTGCTCTTGAGTACTTTAGAGAGGTCATTAACAGCAGACTTTCCCATCGCAATACGTTTTTTTGATTTCCTGGCTGCTGATGCCAAGAGTGTTGACCGTGGAGCCGAGCAAACTAAAGCTGTGAACAATCTCAATCTCTTCACCATCCATCCTGCTGCTACCGATTGGTCCAGTGGTGAGAATTTTTGTCTTCTTGACATTGAGCCTCAGTCCATACTGAAGGCTGCAGTCCTTGACCCTCTGCAGCAAGTGCATGAGGTCCTCCTCAGTTTCAGCGAGCAGGGTTGTGTCATCTAGTGAAGGCTATTCCTTGGGAAGACACAGCATGCTTGGAAACATGTTGTTGTTGTTGTTAAGTGCCGTCAAGTCATAGACGACTCATAGTAACCCTATGAACAAAAGACCTGAGCACTGTTCATAGAGTTTCTGGAGGCAAGCCATTTCGGAAGTGGACGCCACTCTTGCTTGCTTGGAAATAGAGAGAGGGTCTGCAAAGGAGAGGAAGACCCTCCAACGAGATGGATTGACACGGGTGACCTCAGCAATGGGCTCTGGTATGTCAGAGATGGAGAGAGGGCGGTACAGGAGAGGGCAGGGTTCCGGTTGGCTGTTTGTAGGGCCCCTCTGAGTCGAACTTGATGGCGCCTAACACCTAGTGGTCAGTCTGCTGCCATCCACGCAGGGGTGGCGCAAAAGAAAGGCCTGGCCACCTGTACCCATACTGATTGTGTGCGCTAGCATTCCCGTGGGGAACAACCCCCCCCCCCAAAACCAGCATGTGGTTCCCCTGTGCGAAGAGCCAGTTGAGCTGGTTTCCTGGGTTATAGGGCCGTGGCCCTCACAGAGCAGACGCACCGCGGATCCAGGCGTGTCCAATCTCATCCCCTTCCGCCTCTCTGCTTCCAACCAGGCCGACGGGAACGCCAGCACCGAGGATTACTCCCACTACGATACCATTGACCCCAGTGACCCTGTGGACGGGCCCGGGGTAGCCCGCGGGCTCAAGCCCCTGGACACAGTGGCGCTGGTCGTCTTCTCGTTCGTCTTCCTGGTGGGCGTGCCCGGCAACGCCGTGGTCATCTTGGTGACGTGGCCCAAGGTCAAGCGCACGGTCAACGCCATCTGGTTCCTCAACCTGGCGCTGGCCGACCTCCTCTCCTGCCTGGCCCTACCTGTCCTGGTCACCACCATCATCCTGGATGACTGGCGCTTTGGGGAGCCGGCCTGCCGCGTCCTGCCGTCTCTCATCCTCCTGAACATGTACAGCAGCATCCTCCTCCTGGCCTTCATCAGCGCTGACCGCTGCCTGCTCGTGTTCAACCCCATCTGGTGCCAGAACTTCCGCGTGGCCGGCCTGGCCTGGGTGGTCTGCGGGGTGGCCTGGGTGCTGGCTCTCCTCCTGACCGTCCCCTCTTTCATGTACCGGAGGCTGAGAGTCGAACTCTATCCACCCAAGAGCATCTGTGGCCTCAATTACCATGGGGACAGACGCAAGGAGCTGGCCGTGGCCGGCCTGCGGCTGACCTTGGGCTTCCTGTGGCCCCTGGTCACCCTGTCTGTGTGCTACACCTTCCTGCTGCTGCGCACCTGGAGCCGCAAGGCCACGCGCTCCACCAAGACGCTCAAGGTGGTGGTGGCCGTGGTCAGCTGCTTCTTCATCTTCTGGCTGCCTTACCAGGTCACCGGAGTGCTCATGGCCGTGTACGAGGGCCACTCGGAGGCATTCAAAAGGGTCCAGAGGTTCGACACGCTGTGCGTCTCCTTGGCCTACGTCAACTGCTGCGTCAACCCCATCATCTACGTGGCCGCGGGCAGGGGGTTCGAGACCCTGTGCCGGAAGACCTTCTGCACCATGCTCCAGGGCGTGCTCATCGAGGAGTCGGTGGGCAGGGAGAGCAAGTCCATCACGCGGAGCTCCACCGTGAACACCATCACGGAGAAGACAGAGGCGGTGTGAGGGGAGGCCGCCAGGCGTCACCCGCGCGCTGCGCCACCCTCCTCTCGGCCCTGGCCCTGGCCCGCCAGCGGAGTTGGAACGCAATCTTTGGTTCCGAGATCTTGCATTGCAACAGGAACCAAAAACCTTTCTCTGCTCTATCCTTCCTCTTCCAAGATAACCTTTCCTCCCTTGCCAGGTGGATCCATTGCTCTGTGGACACCCAAGGAGCCAGAAGGCTTGCACATTTTGCTGTTCATGGAAAGGTTGGCCAAACTTAGCCCAAAACGTCTGTTCCTGTAGAGATTGTTGTGAGGAGTGATCAGACAGACTATGACTCCCGGTGATCCCTGGAGCTCTGGTGGCCTAGTGGGGTAAAGGACTTGTGCTGCCAACTCAAAGCTACAAGTTCGAGTCCTCCAGCTGCTCTGTGGGTGAAAAATGGACAGTCTCCTCCGGTGTGAACAACAGCCTCTGAAAGCCTGCTGGAGGGTCAGCAATGAGTAGGTTCTAACTGGATGACACAGTGACCCTGTCCTGTCTCCAGAAGGCCTTATGGGACATCTCTTCTTTGTAGTTTTGGGTCCCTGAGTCCCACCTGACTGACTCAGTCTCACCTAACCACCGTGGATGCCAGTTTTTCTTTCCAATCCAAGGTTTGCCGATGGATGTAGATAGAACACTTTCATAGCTGACATCCAAGCAGATATATGCACACCCATGTTCATTGCAGCTTTGTTCACAATAGCAAGGAGTTGGAAACAACCTAAGTGCCCATCAAC